TTAAGATTTTAAGGCATGAAATACCATCAATCTATAGAGATTTCCTAATATTTCTCTGTTGCAATAAAGATATCACAACAATTAACCCCAAAAAAAGCCAAAGCAGCGCAAACACTACCAGATCACTGTTGTGGTATTGTGACATTTCTTCTTTCTTTTTTTTTTTACTGAACTAATCTGCAGTAACATAAATAGGAGACTCATTAGAAACAGATGGCCAACCAAAAAGTAACATAGGGTTATACAAAGAATGTCACAAAATGATACAAGTCCCATTTAACACTCAATACACTACAATTATATGGTATAAATAGAGCACTACAACAAACAAATGAGAGAGATCGACTCAGAAAGCCACTTACCAGTTTAATAATGATGTGATCAGCTGTAGTTTAAAATTACACTGTATTTTTCCTACTCTAAAAGGCTTATTATGCAGTCTTTGTCATCATCTTGTGGATAAACAACGCCAACCGTCTTTGCTCTGCTTAATGACAGGCTAATGGCCGCAGACGAGCTTTCTCTCAGAAATTATAAATATATATTAAAAAGGCACTATCCTTATAAATAAACTACATAGTTGCAATCTAAACAACTAAATTCTCGCCTCAAAAGCACATTATGTTGTCCAACAGCAGCTATATTTGTTAAACTGTAGAGTGTCCTCTGCTTTTTGCTGTACGTGGCCAGAGTAAGAGACAAGCGTGAAGAGGCTCGACAAGCTGTTATTTGCAGAATAACGCACGGCTATCAGCCAATCAGATTCAAAAAACAGACTAAAGACTAAATAAATATATATAAATATATAAATCTTTTTATTTTACTTGTACTACAGAAGTTACTACATGACTTACTAAATAAATTAATATTACAGTTAAATATGCCAATAAAAAAAGCACTTAATCAAAATGACAAGCACTTCTATTCTACATCTGTGAAGTTGTTCTTACTGTATTTATTCATGTTTTTGGTCAGTTAAGTGCAGTTCAAGCTTATATATATATATATAGCAGTGTAAAAACCAAAGCACAATTGAATGTTTCCATTGCATTGCACTGTGGCCCATATTTCATTTCTCAAGAGAGTCGTCATCAAATTATGCTACGATGAATGCAAAATAAACCTCCCATCAACATTTGTGTGAATGCCCCGCAGACACATCCGTCAAGACGCACTCCTTTCACAGACCTATTTATGATGCCTACAGAGGAATGAGGTACTTCTAGTCTGTCCTTTGTTATTGTCCATTCTCGCATGTTTTGCTACTTCTGCAAAACATGCAACTCTTCCTGCTGTTGGTTTCTTCCTGCAGCACCAGAGCTTTTTCTTCCCCCTGTCCATCTAACAAAGGTCGACCTAGAGTTTTCCCCAACAAAGAAGAAAAGAACAGGGTCCAGACAGCTGTTTGACGTGCACAAGCAATGCGTGATGACCGCAGCCTTACGCACTGCCAATATATAGCCACACGACTCTTTGTATTCATTCATTTTGATCTGCCTCTCCGTGATCAAGAAGATAGTCCTTACTATATGATATGGTAAAAAACACACCAGAAAGATCCCAAGGCTAATGATCACCAAAGCGCAAGCCTTTTTCCTGCAAGGTCTGGTCCTACCAAGCGCAGGACTAGGCCTCAGAAGATTCTTCGCCACAAATATTGAACAAAAAATGACGATCATTAAAGGCACCACGAATCCCACCGGAAACGTGACGTTGTTGATGAGAAGCAATTTATCCACAGCGTCATGTGCGAGCTCCAAACATCGAGTGCTGCCTTCATCGTGAGATTTCTTCTTGGCAAACAACAGCGGACTGCAAGCCAATCCCATCAAGCCCCAAATGAGTCCGCAGATGATGCCAGAAACCGAGTGGGTTTGAACGCGCAGGTATAGATATGGCCACACCAATGCCAGATAACGAAAGACATTCAGAGCTACTAAGAAATACACAGAGCTGTACATGTTGAGATAATACACATATAAGATGATCTGACAGGCGATGTGACCGAACGGCCAGTGAGAGTTCAGTACGTAGTAAGTGAGCCGCAGGGGTAAAGAGCAGACCAGCATCAGGTCTGACACTAGCAGGTTCACCATTAACATGCTGACTGGAGTAAAGCTCTTCTGGCTCCTCCATTGGCTCAGGAAGACACACACGGATATAGAGTGCCCTGTGAGTCCCAGGATGAAAATCAGTATGTATGCTGTAGGATAAAACAGGCGCTTGAAGTTATCAACGTTGCTGGGGTCCAAACAGGAGGTGTTTCTGTGAAGACCTGGAAAAGATGCATTCATGTCCGTTCCTGGAGGAAGATTGGAAAGTTTGGGTGAGGGTTTATTAAATGACAAAACTGTTCTTTCAAGAATTCACGCTTAGTTATGCTTGACGCTAACAGCAGGTTTGGCATGCTGTCCCAGGAGAGAGCCCTGAGCTCAGCATTGAGTCCAGGGTTCCCGCTTGGTCAATATACATATAGACCATTTTGAGGGATGTAAACAATACCAATGCTCCCAATGTATTTCCGGTTGTACATTTTTAATTCCCATAGTTTCCAAGAATGCAAGAAGGTCCAGATATTAAAAAAATAATAGTGTTATGATAGCTGTTTTAATGTTAGGTCATGATTGAATTGATTTTTGTTATAGTTATGAAATAGTTTGACAACAAGCAGGAAATGTTTATGGGGCAAGACATTGAAATGGTCTATAAGGAGGTCCGAGATCAGGTAGGCTCCAGGTAAAGGGAGGAAAAGGAGGAGATTGGGTGGAAGGGGGGATGCACCCAAAAAGAAGATAAGGTAGTAGGACAAAATCTGTCTATTTATTGTAAGCTTGAATCAATCTGATTGGATTATTGCTGATTACAGACTAGCTGTGATCAATCATATCACATGCTCCTCTCAAAATTAGTTTGTAATCTTCACTTAAAGCGACAGTTCCGCTAAAATAAAACTTAATTTCCTTAACATTCATTTGTTCCAAACCTGTTTGAAGTTTTTTTTTTGTCCTGTTGAACAAAAGAAAACTAAAGAAAAACCGCTATTGACTTCCACTTACTATAGATGTTAATAGCTGTTCAACATTCCTCTGAAAATCTTGTTTCGTGATCAACAGAAGAATCTGATTGAACTAAAAGAGACATTTTTTTGAGCGAACTATCCTCTTTCAATACATAGATCAGACAAAAACAAGTCTATTTTTAGTTCTATTAAATTCTTCCTTCTCTTGATCTCAAAACAAGATATTCTGGGGAATGTTGAAGAAACAGACTTCAATAGTTGTAACAAAAAAGACAGTGGAAGTCAACGAAAAAATATCATAGAACTAAAAATTGTTTTCTTTGGATGAACTATTTCTTTAAGTGCATAGATCAGACAAAATAGTGACATTCTATCTGACCCAATGTTCTTTTGGAACTCAGTGTTTTTTGAAGATTGTTCCAAAACAATACTAGACTCCCACTGATTTTCATCGTATTAAAAGTGTATTTTATATAAAGCCATATAAATAATTAAATAGGTTTACTCTCATCAATTGGTCGAAGACAAGGGTTTTTATAAATTAAGTTTTGTATATTTTAATAAGCAAAAGAATACGCAAGTTGTTTTATCTCTTCATAAATATTTCTATTATGCGAAATCAAAATGACAAAAAATTGTTTGATAATTTATCTTATATTATTATTTTAGTATCTTTAACATTTAAATATAGACTGTAGGTATACTTATTAATCAATTAAAATGTGAATACAGTAGTTTGATACAGACACAAGGATGAAACATCCTGCCTTCCATTCGCAAGTTTAGACACATTTTACTTTTCTCCATTCGTTTTTGAAAACAGGCTTTTCTAGTCTGGTGTTGCTAAGAAGCCTTGTTTAAAGGAAAATCTTAAGCTTTAATATCACATTAATATCACAAAAACTCTCAAAGTCAATGGCTTTCAGCAACAAGAACTTTAAAGCAAGTTAAAGAAACATTTATGTACTTAGCAAACTTCAAAAAACAAAAAACTTACCTTTTTGTTAGTGTGAAGAAGTGAAATCAGTTCAAAAGTGCTCTCAATGTTGGCACCAGCCAAACCGGCAGAGTATTGTCAGCCACTACAGGAGGTTTGATGCAGAAAAAACATAAGCAGCAGCAGCAGCAGCAGCAGCAGGAGGAGGAGGAGAAGGACGTCCCAAAAACAACCTCCCGATCATCACTTCCATCAGTTTAAAAAGAACGGCTCATTTCCTCGTGTAAAAGCAGCAGGTGTCCTGTAACAGCACTTGCATTGTTTAATATGGCAGTTGTTTCAACTGCTTCAGATAGAAAGTGCTTTGCATAAGAAGATATACAGCACGAAAGGCAAAAGTCCAAAGACTATCTTTTAATGTAAAGTGATAAAGGTCATTTGGATGCTCTGCGCATGCATTTTTAAACCACAACACTTTAAGCAGAAGTGCATTTCTCGTCCCTCATTCATTTCCTCCTGTATTTTGTAATTCAAGCAACTTACTTGTGCTGCACTCGTTTTTTCTCTTTGATCATGAAGATGTGCTGATAACCTTTTAACAGAAGCCACTGCTGACAAAGCAGAGAATTTCTGATCGTCTATGACAGCAGCGGTACATTAAAACCATAAATGATGTTCTGGGGAATTTGAATGAACAAACGGCACTAAACATGAGCTACTGCTGTTATGTACAGACGTGTTTGAGGATTTGAGTCACCAATGTACTTAAGAACTCAAACACACTTATAAAATAAACAACTGGGATTGATGTCAACTTTAAATATGATGAAGGCTTAACGATAATGTAAATACACCTTAAATTTGTGAGCTAGATTTTCTGATAAACAACATTCCGGTGGAAAGTAAATCTGCCAAGGAGTGTGTGGAAAAGGAGTGTGATTTATCAGTAGCACCATGTGCTTTGGCTACAATCTGGACTTGTGGCAACAAGAGTCACCTTGGTCCTCAATTTAAATAAATAAAAAAAGACACATGTAATATTTCTTCAAACATGTCAGTTGTTAAACTTTTGGAGAAATACATAATTTGTCAAAAAAAAAAAAAAAGAACATTTGATGTACAACATAATTTTTTCAGGAATATTAGTAACAAAAAGTCTAAAACAAGTCCAAAAAACGGCAGCGCTGCCCAGGAAGAACGTAATAAGTCAGACATATTCATAACAATCATATTCTAAAACCCAGTAATGCTTAAACACCAACAAATTTATATAATACAAATTCTAAATAAAATCCTTTTATCACATAAAATAGTGACACGCTTCGAGAAGGCCACAAAGACAGGGTTCAAATCTACTAAATACATGATTCAAATTGATCTCAAACCCGGTTTTCCTGTACTGAAATGAGGAAAAGTTGCTCTAAAAGAAACAAAACAATAAATATCCATGACACACTGAACCCGGCACATTTGCAAACTATTGTAGATGAATTTAGAGGTATGTTTCACGTCAACTCCTAAACATCCTTCATGGATCCACGCATGCTTAAAACAAACTAAAATGAAACAACGCAGGGAAAGCATCTGTGCTGTTTCAGGAAATGCAGTGCACCATTTAAATACAAAAAAAAAATGGAAGAGTTTAAAACGTAGTAACATAAAACACCAGGGGACGTCAGGCTTTCCGCTTGATGGTGGAGTGGTTTTCCTCAGCAGTACAGTGTGGATTTATTTAGGGCTCTGGATGATCTTTATCAGACTCCTCTTTCAGTTTCTGTTCCTGCATTCGAGAACGTGTCGAGCCTGAAGAGACAACAACAAAACATTCAAGCAACCACTACATTACATCTGGGGCCTGTTTCAGTAAGGAGGTTCAAACAACTCTGAGTTTAAACTTGAACTCTGAGTTGATTTACCGAAAGATTAAAAACTCTGAGTTTTCGTATTCAGAATAGATGATCTGAGTTAGATCAATCAACTTTGAGTAGACCAACTCAGAGTTAAGCGCACGCACCGTGACTATAAAAAGGCATTATCAATGGAGCGCATTATTAATGCATACTTTTTAATTTAAAATATTAAAATATTTAAGTATAATAAAATAAGTAATATAATGTGTGATGTTTATAAAATTTTTCTAAACTTTTATACACGTTGATCAGTTTTAATAGATTTAAAAGTGCACTTGTGTGTCTGCCTTTTTATTAATCAAGTGAAAGAGGTTGATATAACATTTAGAAGGTAAGTGCTAAAAATAATTTTTTTAAAAGAATAATAATCCCTTTAATCTAGTTACAGTACATGTCAAAGGTTAAGCTAATTGTTTATAAAAAAGGACAAGCCTCGTACGTGACTTTGTTCTGTGTGTGACAAAAATGTAGGTAATATCTAAGTTTCCGAATAAAGCAGCGTTTTTATCCAATGAGTCAAAGAGAACACAATCGTCACTTCCTGATTAACTTGCGCCAAATATCAACAGTAAAAACAGAATTTACTGTGGTAGAAGAAGCTGCGTCAATAAATTATTTATTTAATAAATGTACTTGTGCCTCAGAGACAGAAGACAATGCTGACACGCAATGAACACGTGGGGCGTTTGAAGCCAGACGTGGAGATCTTGACACGCTTTAGATGCTCCAAGGTAATTAATAATATACACTAATACTGAAACAGTTAAAGCATTTTAGAATGACTAAAACAACATTTAAGACGTTCTACAGTGTACTCAGTCTGCTGGGTTGTCCATTCACACACATTTTTATCATCATCTCTAAAAAACCTTTTTTTAATGCACATACTGTAATTTGTTAAGTGCACTTAGTTTATGCACATCTTTTCTTATCAAATAAAAAGTTTAACCTACTCAGTTATGCACGTTTTATTATGCGTATTTTCAAAAGTTATGTGAATCATAACGTTTCCATCAATCATTTTTATGGGCATCTCCAAAATGAGCTCTAAAATAGATGTGTGGAAATGTAAGGCTAAGGCGAGAAATACGCTTCATCTTTAAAAAAGGGGAGGAGACTGACAGAAACTCAGAGTTTAGAGAATAAAACCTGCTCCGGACCAGGTTAGATTCACAGAGTAAGTTACCACGATAACTGACTCTGAGTTAAAGTTACCTTTCTTTCAGAAACAAGTTTGACTTACCCTGATTTCTTGAGTTTAACAAACCTGCCATTTTGAAACAGAAAACCCAGAGTTTCTCTCATTTCAGGGTTAAAATACTCTGAGTTTTCACTTAACCTGCTTTCTGAAACAGGCCCCTGATGTTCAATTATAAATATTTACGTGTACATCTTCACTTCTGTATTTTGGTATGATTGTATCAGATTGTAAATAGCCAGATTAAAAAAAAAATGGGATGCCTTTTATCACACAGCATTCAAAAAATTTCACATTCATAGAATTCATGTCTAATAAATGGCAATGTTTAATATATTACAGTACACTAAACAATAACAATGATACAAATGCTGATTATTCAATGGTTAAGATGCATAACTGCTTTGGTGCTTTACCATTTATAATGAAGTAGATGTATTACCACTAGTGGGCAGAACTACTTTAAGGCTATATTAACAGCATAAAAAAATGTTCTTATCACAACAAAATTTTGTTGAACAGTTACACCAGGGGTGCTCAACCCTGTTCCTGGAGATGGACCTTCCAGCAAAGTTCAGCTTCAACCCTGATCAAACACACCTGAACCAATTAATTAGGACCTGAACAGCACTTGATAATTACAGGCAGGTGTGTTTGAAATGGTTTGCAACTGAAATCTGCAGGAAGGTCGATCTCCAGGAACACGGTTGGTCACGCCTGAGTTACACTTACACAACTAGTCATTTGTATTTTTAATTTTTAACATTTGTAATGTGACTGATATTTTCTGTTGATTCGCAATTAGGGCTGCTCAATATGTTATTTCATCATCGATATAGCAATGTGTGCATACGCAATAGTCACATCGCCGCATCTGGAATGTGGAGTTGGGATTATTATTAATGTTGATCAGCAATAAAAAATGCTCAGTGTTTACATTTTACATTACTTTTGTTTGTTTATTAAGGGCAGGACAAAATAGCAATATGCATGAGGTGGCGTTTCTCGTAATGGCAGATCAAACATATAATTTATATTTTTAAAAGGAAGCTCTACAATATTATATTTGTGCATATAGATTAGATTAGTCTGTGCAGAAGTCAAATCTCGAGCTTATGTAACAAAATAGCTTACGATAACGGTCCAAAAACTAATACACAAAAATGTACATGTTATAGAAAAATATTAAATACAAATTTAAAAAAGGAAAAAAATTTGTAGGTTGTATTTTTTTTTTTTGCAGTATTTTGCTTGAAATTTTCATTCAATTATTTTAAAATTTCTAAATGAAATTTTTCATTAATTACTAAAATATTATTTTAATAAATATACCGGTTTAATAAATCTGTTTTGTTTAAATTAACAAAAATGCACTGCCTATATTCCCTGAGAAAATGACAAAAATATTCACTTTCAAAATGAGATTATACTAACTGAAATGATATTTATATAATTAAATATATATTAGGTATGTGAACCTACACTGGTCTCACGGTTCGGGTACTATTATTATGCCATCGATTCAGTTCAATTCACTGGGCATTGGCGATACTTTCCATAAACAATTTGATATTTTACCTGGCAGCACAATAATTCTTCTATTAAAATTTACCATTTATAAATATGTTTCTATATTATATGTAATACAATTTTGTCCTTTAATACAAGCAGTCAGATATATGTACTGTACCTTTAATTTTACTTCCTCAAAGAAAACATTTTCTGAAAGTATCAAACAAAACTGAAGTACATGCACAGAACAACATGAGCATTTATGCTAAATAAACAGCTGTAAATATTTTACCACTTGTATTTTGAGCATCGTTGTGCGAATCCTTAAACGGCTATGATTGGTCATGCGCTCAACAGAAAAGGCTGGGATTGGCAGTGCGGCTCTGGCACTGTTTAGCTGGACACTGATGTTAATTGGCCATGGCGCTCAGCTGATTTATTATAGACAGCAATGCGGCTCGCTTTGCAGACACGCTCGTGTCTGGATCCATAAGTAATGTTATTGTTGTAACAGCCGAGCGAGGAGACAAAACGTTACCTCACGAACATACCTTTCCTAGCTAGGTTCTGATGTACTTCCCTGTCAGTGAAAGACTGTCCAGCAAACTCAAAAGCAGTGAATTGTGCACAGTTATCTGCTTTTTAAGTAATTGGGAGTGTTTTAACTACTTGCAGTTGCCTCTCTCACCATAGTAAGTTCCCGCCATATAACGCATCGAAGAACAAATTTATTTTGACACCCCTAATATATATAAACAATTGAAGTCAGAATATTAGCCCCACTGTTTATTTTTTCCCCCAATTTCGGTTTAACTGAGAGATTTTTTAAACAAATTTCTAAACATAACAGTTTTAATAACTCATCTCTAATAACTGATTTTATATTTGCCATGATGACAGTAAAGAATATTTGACTAATAATTTTGACCTTAAAATGGCTTTAAAAAAATTAAAAACTGCTTTTATTTCAGCTGAAATAAAACAAATAAGACTTTCTCCAGAAGAAAGAATATTATCAGAAATAGTGTGAAAATTTCAGTGGTCTGTTAAACATCATTTGGGAAATATTTATATATGTAGCATCAAGAAAATAAAAAATGATAATAATAAAATGAAAAATAATGATAATTGTCCTTCAATTATATATCAAGAGTATCATTCTACTAAATATGATTTGCTCTATTTAGCTTTTAAGTGTTAAACCACAATCTGATGCAAAAAGAATGCTGGCATGTAAAGAAAAGAGGAAGTGTGACAGGTTTGAGTCTTTTTGCGGTTAAGGGGAAATCTAGCTTATAGTTCAGACAAAAGACAGGTGACAAAGCTTGCAGGAAACTTACTCATCTCAGCCAGCTTCTGGATCAGTGCTGACTCGCCACTGGATTTGCTAAAACACAACAAAGAGTCTTAATGATTCTCTAGAATTACACTCAGAGAAATTCAGAGTAAACTGATCATGACTCCCACCTTCCGTCTGCTTCATCTTGTCCGTCCATGTCAAAGCGCAGCCTCTTCAGGGGTTTGGGGGCGGAGCCTCCATCCAGACTCCTCTTGAGTGACCAGTCAGAGCTGCTCACCATCTGATTGATCTTCTGAAATTTGTCTGCCGACTGTTGAGATAAAGAGAGGCATTTTAATAGTAAAGCTCACACCAAGAAGGATAGATCACTGCTAACAGTATAGCATTAGCCTCAAAACCAATGCATGATGACACTTTTATGTGCCAGAGTTTTTCCGATTGTTGCCCTAAATGCTTGTAAAATCTAAATTTACAATGGTTTATCTTATAGCTCACATTTTTATTCTTACACTGAACAAGTCATCTGTTGAATACAAGTTAATCCACTCAAAACATTTTGCTGATCTTGGTGAGCGTTTGGAGTGGCAGTCTTTCACTGATGATGCTAGTTTTCTATGAGGGAATGATGTGCAAAAAGCCCTGGCCCCTATTAATATTCTGTTTCAGTTGGAAGAACATCAACATACTGAAATAAAAGTCTCAGGAACTTTTCCTCCAGAGTTTAAAGAAGGATGAATTCTGATTGGCTGTAATTGTTTTTAAATAATTCCTTTAAGACAATAATATTAAAACATATATAATAAAAAGGGAAATAACATGCCAATGCATTCACAAAAACAGTTTGTACTGACCTACATCTCTAATTAACTTCACAAAAAAAGCTATAAAATGATCTGCTTCCAAACACTACAATATGGAAACGTTACTGCACATCCTGATTCTGTTAAACTGATCAAAATGAAGAGAGTCTGAATAAAACAAGAACATCTGCTGATGGGAAAAATAATAAATCAAACCAAACAGGGAAATCATTTTCATATCCAACTGACGGATATTTCTTCTTGTTTTAAGCATAAACTCACTTATTTTGTTCAATTTGTCAGAAAAAAAATGATTAAATGTCCTAATTTTGTATCTTGGGTAAATGTTTCTTAATTTAAGGATGTGTACATAATTTAATGAAAAACAACAAAAGGAAGATGCTCATTTTTAGAGAGTGTACAACATTTATTATCAGAATTTTATGTAATATGGAATTATGTAAGCATGTAATATTATGCAAGTATGTGATTATGCAAGTACGGAATTTGTGGTTTTTAAAACCGGCAAAAACTCAGATTTTACCATTAAAATAAAACTTGACTGTTTTACTTCCTTTGAAATTTTTATCATTGTTGAAATAAGTCTTATCGTTGGTGTGAACGGGCCTTAATACTTATAAAAGAGTTTTTTAAAAAGTGCACTAACCCCAAAGGATTCGCCAATGGATATAAGAATTCTGTCCAGGATGCCATGAAAGAAAAGATACAGCACAATTAATAAAAGCACAAATGACAAAAACATTCAGCTAAAATAACAGCTAAAAAATGGTTAACCCTTGTGCACTGTTCAAATTTACCACGTTTTTTTACGTTAGGGATGAAAGCAAAAAAAGGCAGCCGGTGCATAAATACAGTCTTTTTTTTTTACTCCATGTAGTTCTGAGAGCTGAGATGCATATTTTATATATATATATATATATATATATATATATATAATTATTATTTTTTTAGATCAATTAAGGTAAGTGCGCAAAAGGTCACTCTCACACACTTACAGACACGTATACACACTTTAATTTGCTGTTATACTCCATATAACTCCATTTAAAATCCAAACTTTTTCTGCACAGGCCTTTTTAAAGGGTTAATGGTGCCAACTGATGATTAGCAGTAAAAAGGTCAAATTTAACCTTTACCCAACAGGGAAAACCACCAACAATCAAAAATGCATGATTATATGGTTTCATGCTTTTGCAATCAAAAAAGTGATTATAATAGAAGTCAATGGGGCAAAAACAGCCACCAACAGTTAATTAGTGAGAAAAAATGAAAATCAAATGCTGCACAAAACCTAACAATGCATCAACAGTGGGTTGTTACTAATCGTTCACATAATCAAGACTGTAATAAAAGGTAAAAAAATAAATAAATCAGTCCACAATTATATTTTATAATGAAAATACGTCATTTTCGTGCGTGTTTTTTTTACCAAATCAGTGACATCTTTTATTAATTTGGCAATTAAAGAGTTTAAATCCTGTAATTTTCTAAGCAATTTAGTAGTTCGATCAGGAATGATTCATGCAAACATATTTGAAAAAATATTTATCTGATGCAGTTTTACAACAGTTTTATTTAGTGGATGTTTTCATCCTGTACATAACAGAAGGGTAGAGAATTTGCTCAGAGTTAATTGTTGATTTTTTTTTTTTATTTCTAAGCTTTCTCCAAAATATGTGTGAAAATAAGATTAGTCATCAAAATCATTCCATTTACTGAAACATAGAAAAATTTAATGGCAAAATTAAGACTCAAAAACACCCCAGAGTGGATGAAAACATCCCTAACAGCACATAAGGGTTAATCTCACTAATCAAAATAAAATACTACTGCAAAATACTCCATTAAAAGGCAAAAGAAAGTTACGATTCTATTTGTACAGTTAAAAAAATATGATTAGGCATATGTCCAAAATAGATATAAAATCTCTTGAATGTGATGACGGCTGTGCGCACTGACCTGCTCCGCGGGGTCATGACCAGAGGAGACACACGGCTGCTTTTCAGAGGAGACACGTAAACATTATTGCTGCCAGGAACCCGAAGGGGAGAGTTTTTATAGGGGCTGCAGGGGATGTGGGGAATGGGAGACAGAGGCGGTGGCTGAAACACAAAAACAAACATTCTCAAATCAACCAAAACAAACACTTCATTGATTGCAACATGCCTTCAGGCCAATAGGGGGCATTATAACCAAAGCAGAGGTCTGACAGAGTCTTACCCGAGGAGAGGAATACTGGAGAATGTTAGTCTTCAGCTTCTGCATGAACACCAGGTTGTAGAAGACGATGATGGAGTCGTATTGACCCTCTCTGATCAGCACACGCTTGAATGTCTGACACATGCAGAGAAATTAAAGAGAGAGAAGCCTTGACAGTTTGTTCAAGTGACTTTAGTGTAGTGCTGGTAACTGATTAATTGGGATAAATCATGTCCAAAATAAATGTGTACATTGAAATAATACATGTGTGTGCTGTATTTACACATATATACATGTATATATTAATACACACTATGAATTTGTGATACATTTAATGATTATATGTACATCCAAAATAAATGTGTGCTGTGTATGTTTACTATATGTATACATAAATACACACACATTAATGTACATATTATAGTAACACACACACACACGATTTGTGCTTTATTTAATGATTTGTGTACATCCAAAATAAACGTGTACAATGAGTGTATATATATATTAAAATGTAAATATGTGTCAATGTATGTGTGTGTGTGTGTGTGTGTGTGTGTGTGTATATATATATATATATATATATATATATATATATATATATATGCTTGTGTGTATTTATATATACATAATAAATCTACATAGTATAAAAACATATCAAGTAAACACAATGACTTAAACTGCACTACTTGATTCTAAATGTATTTGAATGATCATTTGAATCAAATCATTAAAAAAAATAAACTAGTCTTACCTCTTGATTAGTATTTGGCAGCTCTTTGTAAGCAGTCACAATAGTTTTGAAGCGCAAATCCACGTTTTTCACCTTGCATATGGCATACATGGCTGACATGATCAACTGTGATGGAAAACAGAGAGATGATCAACAAACTACAAAGCTCAAAGAACACAAATGCAGTATGTCATGATGTTTAGATTAAAAGAGCTGCTAGTACCTGATCTAAGTGTCTGTCCCGCATTAATTCATACTCGTTCTGGAGGGTGTGCTGAAGCAGAGTCCATATTATTGGCTCCATTTCTGGATGTGAGGTCAGCAGATTGGAGAACAGCATCTTCAGTCGCAGGTAGGCCATCCTGTACACTGACAAAGACAGGAAAAAAGAAACAAATGATATAAAATGAGGTTTAATATCAAAGTTTGAAATAGTATTGTGAGATTTTCTTCATTCTAAAAAGATCTGACAACATATCCAAAAAAAAAAAAAAAATTATTGTCATTTAAAGCACTATTTGCCAAGTAAATGACAAATTCGTAAGGTAAAACATTGGTGTTGGGTTGTCTAAAAATGAATAGAAGCATGTCTGGAAACATTTTTGTTTATTTTTAACAGTTTTTACAACATTTTCTTTTTTATATTTAGAAGAAATATCCCCAGTAATTTATATTTGCATTTAGCAGACATTTACAAATGATGAGGCATTCAGGGATTCAACAAGACGAGCCGTGCCCAAAATAAGTGCGATGTATGGCCTGTTTCCACATTCAAAAGGTACCAAAAAGCAAACTGGACTGTACCACTTTTCGGTACCCTTTCCAAACGGTTCCTAGCACAACAAAAGAGTACCAAAAGGCAGAGCCAGGCACGCAGCTGAACGCTATTGGTTTACAGAGAAACATCACTAGCACGTACACAAGCCAAGAGAATATATAATCTAATTTCAAATGAACAATAATCTACATACAACTCTATCTACAAAGTTCTATTATTTGGTTTTTGATTGTATCATTCATTAACAGCCCAGCCATGAGAGACATTACCCTTTGGCTTTCTGGCAACAGGCTAAGCCAAAATGATGCAAATGATACGGGCAGGCTTTTAACGACTCTGCCTTTGTCTTTGTGTCATACTTTTATGCTACAGAAAACCTTTTGTTGATTCACTTGTGTGGTCAGTTGCTGAGCAGGTTTCTAACACCTATATGCCGGTGATCAGACTGACTCCAAAACTGAATGTGCATGCTTTGTTTAGCCATCTCCCCTCCTCCTAAGAACACAATATAGACATGGCAATTCTCTGTCTTAAATCAGATTTGTGATAAAACTCGTAGACTGCAGACCTCCAGTAGGCTGTTGCAGACACATGGACTTCTTAAAGGCGCTGTACAACTGCAGATTAACCAACACGTCTCAATAAAGGAATTCTGCTTGTTTTCCAGTCTCCTGGACTGGGTTCTCTTTTCTGTTCAATCATTAAATTTTTTACAACAAAAAAAAAAGCCATTTTAAATACACAGCAGAGACATTACACCGTAATAATATAAACATATAATAATGAGCTATGGTTAACCTGAGCTCAAACAAACCTTGTCGTCGTCTTGATGAACAGCCACAAAGCCAGGAAGAAGAACAGAATCTGTCGCATGTACTGTTGTTTTGTAAGAGGCCGTCTAAAAGCTTGTGTGGTTTCAATTGAATCTAGAGAGCCTTGTGCGCTCGCCGTGTGTCTATATTTGTAAAAACAAACTTGAGCTGATGATAAAAACGTGCGCATGATTATTGAAGAGCTTCTGACATCCTTTCAGAAATGGATAAAGGCTAGAATGAAACAAAGAAGCAAATGATTCTTACAACAACCTGAATCAGACTGCCATGTTTAACTATTATCATCACCTTTTGGATTATTATGAACTCGAATGATGGAATTACTTTTTAACAAGAGGTAACATGTTACATGTGCTGGTGAAGAATAAAGATGCAATGTTAGTACTGTCTGTATATGTTTCACATAGTTTATGGACCCAAATATGGCCTAAATTTTGTTTAGGGTATTTATTTTGTAACTGGTTACATATCGGAGACTGTAAGGCTCTGTGTGCGTTCATGAATATTTTAGTATTTTATATAATCAGACGTTACAGTAGGCTATTTCACATTATAATTGATCTGCAGCTATAATCAAATCCTGTTCATTGAAAGGTTACTGATAAACATTTATTTATGCATTAGTAACTGTGTATATAAAGCAGTTGTTTAGTAAAGAGTGCGAAGTGCGATATGGGAACTTCAAGCGAGAATGACGTTAACTGCAACTTTCTGTTGAACACCACGCCTACCAAATAGGCCCCATTGGTACCATTTGGCAGTGGAGACACAAGCTTGATAAAGGTGACCCATACTGTACCGAACCGTACCACTCAGTTGCATTATACGAAGGACCTTTAAGTGCTTAGAGCCCAAGAGTAAGTTTTTTTTTTTTTGCTCAAGTGCTCAGTTAATCACAGAAGAGATGTGTTTTTAGGTTGTCGTTTGACTGATATTAGTGAATCAGCAGTCTATGTGGGAATGCGAAGATCATTCCGCCAGTAAAGCACATTGAATGAAAAATTTCGGAAAGTGACACAGGGCTTACTCACACTATGCCATCCGTACCGTGCCCAGGCCCGTTTCCCGGATCGTTTGAGAAGTGTGAGTACGCTGAATCGGGCTCAAGCACGGTTCACTTGGCCGGCCCTGGCCCGGTTGTAAGAGGTGTGCCTGAGCGCGGATCACTTGAAGTAAGAATGATTAATAAATCCATATGAAACAGCCCCTTTAAAGTCACATATCGCTTTCAGTTTTGGGCTTTGGCGCGTTTTGCACTCATACACAAAACTGAAAGCGATATGTGACTTTAAAGGGGCTGTTTCATATGGATTTATTAATCATTCTTACTGTTCAGTGATCGCAAACTGCCGTAGTTTATTAAAGACGCAAACTCCTCACTGCACGTCAGCTGCGCGCCTTCAGCAGACCTCCTCATTCCTGCAGCACGAGGGCTCTATGATTGTTTATGAGCGCCAAAAGTGGCGGATCTAACCGGTGAAATATCTGACTGCGTGTCACCGCATCCCTAAGGACTGTTTGGCGAAATATTTGACTGCATGTCAATGCATAACAAATGACTGGAAGGATATAACTAGAGAAATCTCCACTGTGCTACTGGGTGAGAGCGTATGGCAAGCCGTTTTAGCATTTAAACCTTGTTCTGACTATCCATAAATATATTTAGAGGTATCTCTAATTATATTTTGACTTGTCATAATTATAATCCGACTAGTCAGATTGGAGATATCTGCAAATATATTATGACTGACTAGTCATATTCCTCCATTGACTTCCATTGAAAAATATTTGCAGATATGAGATATCTCTAAATAAGTTTTGACTAGTCACAATTGTAATTAGAGATATCTCCAAATGAATTTTGACTAGTCAAAAATCCAATTCAAGATATCTACAACTGTAATTCGACTATTAGTAAATTAATTAAAGATATCTTCAAATATATTTGTAAATATATCTAAATATGATAAATTAAAGATATCTCTAAATGTATTATGACTAGTAAAAACTCAACAAGTAACAATTGTTACTAGTCAAAATTCATTTGGAGATATCTCTAATTACAATTGTGACTAGAGATATCTGCAAATATTTTTCAGTAGAAGTCAATGGAGGAATATGACTAGTCATAATATATTTGCAGATATCTCCAATCTGATTTCGTACTAGTACAATTGTAATTGCAGATATCTCTAATTGTCATTCGGAGTAGTGGAATTATAATTATGACTAGTCAAAATATAATTAGAGATATCTCTAAATATATTTATGGAGTCAGAACAAAGATTTAAATGCTAAAAAGGCTTGCCATAGAGAGCGCTTCTCACTGAAGAGAGCAGCAGCGATGACGTAAGCGTGCTGAGGCCCGATATGATGTGAGCGCGGGCCGTCGGTGGGGACGAGAGGGGGGACAAGCGTGCTTTGGCCCGGTTCGAGGCAACTGTACCTAGTGTGAGTACGGCCTCAGAGTCTCTATGTGATGGTACCACAAGAGGGCACTCTCACGCCAACCAGAATAAAGTTTAGGAATGAAACAAAATGCATGTGAATGTAAACTACGGTTTAACCTACATTTCTTGTAGAAAAGGCTCAGTGAGTTTGAACGGGGGGCTCTGGTGCCTGGTGTGGGGGGCTCGGCCTCCATTACAGGGGGTTGACGACATGGCCGGACAGGAGAGAGATACCTGGACAAAGGTGAGAAAGTTAAATGAATTCAAATTTTTGCAATAAAAAGGTCTAAATAAAAGAGTTACCGAATGTCAGTGGTTGACCAACAAAACCGTTCATGAGTGAAGGGTTGATACTATACTTACACAACATTACTGAATTCATCTGCATTAACAACAATAAAACTAAGGCAGTAATAAATACTTAATAAATATTCAAACAATTTAGAGTCACCATTAAAATGTGATCATTTTTCAGCATCAAGACTTAATTACTTTTTTGTTTTTAGGGTCTCACACTCACACTCACACACACACACACACACACACACACACACACAAATGCAGATCTGCTGCTCAATAAGCATTAATCATCATTGAAAATAACTGTTTAAATTAGTTTTCTATTTTTGATTATTTTAACAGCATTTATTTGAAATCATAGTATATTAATTTATAACTTTAGTAATCTTTCATAAAGATCACTTTTAGTAAGCGTAATACATTCTTGTGTGATGAGACTTGTATAATTGTATATTGTTTTGTTTTTTGGGGAGTATGTTGCTGTGTTTTGCACTGTTGTTGTATTTTGCACTGTCTGGAGCCAGCACATAAGCTTTTTATTCATCATAGTACACGTGCTGCTGATGATGTGACAATAAAATTGATTTGATTCGAGACTCTTTGCTTGACAGACAATAAAATATATTTTAAGAACATGAAGCATCATAGTCATGAACAAAATAGATTATCACACTTTTTAAAAGTACAGTTCTCACTATTAATAAATCATTAACTATGTCTTTTATCTTGAACTTCTATATTGCTGCTTGTGAACAGTTATTAAGGTAGCAAATGAATATGTACTTTAGAAATACTAATAAACAGCCAATATTTTAATAAGCACTTAAACTATAGTGCTACAACTAATAGATAATATATATTATAATATGTAAACTAATATACAGTAGGCCTGCACAATATATCATTCCAGAATGATATCGCAATGTGTGCATTTGCAATAGTCGCATTGCAAAGATATGCAATGCTGAGTTTTACATATACAAAACCATCATGCAAGCACTGTTTGTTTCACTTTCATCTTAGTTTTGTTGGATTTATCTTTGCTTGTAGTTTGTTTTTTACATGTTATGCATGATTCACTCTCCTACTGAATCATCCCTGTCAATCAAAATGAATACATTGGGTAACACTATAGGGACCAATTCTCCCCAATGTCTAAATGTTTAGTATTGTACCATGAGCAAAGTCATAAGTCATAAGAAGAAATCTGCTGACATTTTTTGTTATTTATGAGCAAAAATTTTTTTTAAATCTGCAGATTTATAGAAAATAATTTTGTGAGTATCATAACTAAAATGAATAGCTAAATAAAAAAGAATAGCTTTTTAACTTTAATTTAATGTTTACAGTGCAAATCCAAAAAGATCCACTTATTTGGTAAACAAAGCAAGTCTCATATAATATATCATGTTAGAAAATAGGAATCAATTTTTTTATTATTATTTTTGTCTCTTTTTCTTTTAATCAAACAATTATTTGTATAGGTCATGTAAGGGTCATATATTAACTGAACTTCTTCTGTGGTGTGTGAGATGCTGTGCATACTAATTAGCATTTTTGCAGAAGTGCGGGTCCAAAATTAAATTCAGCTCTGCAGAAACTTCCTGTCTAAAGAAAGGTGTTAAAACTGAACAGAGCACAAAAAGTTTTATGCTTTTATTGTTGTGCAGAGAGTTCGTAAAAAAGAGGACTTATGTCTGAGGTGCGGCCAATGGAGGACTGAACAATGATTGACAAAAGACCAATTTCACTAAAAATAAATAAATAAATAAAAATAACTAAATATTCCAACAATCTATTAAAAGACAGAAAACATTACTTTACAAACTGCATTGTAAATAAATCATATAAACCTTTTTTATATTAGACAATAATATCACTGAAATTAATAAAAAACTTAATAAATATAAAGTTACAAAAGTATATAAATAGACTCGATGGGCTAAAAATCTGCAAATTTATGCGCGTGCGGATTCTGTGTGAGACTAGTCATAAGCAGAGACAACTTTATTTTTACAAAAAATATTTTCCTTCGTTTTTTTTTTTCCGGTACAAACAAAAAAAGCGCAAGCACACTTCAAGTGCTGCTCTCTTTTATTTATATATATATATATATATATATATATATATATATATATACACACACACACATATATATATATATATATATATATACATATATATATATATATATATATATATATATATATATATATATATATATATATATATAAGTATAGTATAGTATAGTATAGTAAAGTATATATATATATATATATATATATATATATATATATATATATATATATATATATATATATATATATATATATATATATATATATAAATATATATATCTTATGTGATATAAGTCTTACTACAAGCAAGATACACAAATAAAGGATAAAGCTAAAACTGGAATCAAAATATTTGGCATGCAAAATCTAATAGTGACATGAACTCAAAATGTCAACTGTTTCCTATCATCACACAAATTATTAGCAAATGAAGCTGACTATAACCTTGTGGTCGGCCCCATTTTACAGAGATGTATTTGTCTTAACCACAGCCACACGCTATATGCGGAGAGTGGCCAGACCTGCGAGCTCCTGTTAACAACGTCAAAAGTTTCCAGAAGAGATTTTGGTTCCCTGTTCTGTTTGTTGCTTTGCTCTGTGCAAACACGCCATTTCATTCTCACGGAAAGGTTCCCCAAATCAGCATTAATCCTGTAGTTCTGCAATACACTCAACTATGACTAATCTGACTTTAAATTACACGGAAGCTATTTCATCAACCAGCTCTAGTGGAAAAGTTCAGTTAAAGGCCTTTTTTATATCACAGAAGTCTTTAAATACATAAAATACTGTTACGATTGACCGGGCGGATCGAGGCATAAAGTGTCACAGAAGCCGAATGTATAATGCATAATATATAATTTCAGCATGGATACCGCAATGCGCATTTCCGCAATAGTCACATTGCAGGATCAGCAATGTCAGTTTAGTTTAGCACACCTTTCATTTGCTTATTTACTTCAATTTTAAGAGTATGGTATTTCAAGTGTGTTTAAACAATTTGCATAATAATTTGTGACATTTTTAGTTTTTTCAAGGCAGCATGGTGGTGCTGTGAGTAGCACAATCACTTTACAGCAAGGAAGTCGCTGGCTTGAGCCTCGGCTGGATCAGTTGCGTTTCTGTGTGGAGTTTGCATGTTTTCCCTGCATTTACGTGGGTTTCCTCCAGGTGCTTGGGTTTCCCCCACAGTTCAAAGACATGTGGTATAGGTTAATTGGATAAGCTAAATTGTAGTATGTGGTGGTGAATGAGTGTGTATGGACGTGTCTCAGTGATGGATTGATCCGCTATGTAAAAAAGATATGCTGTATAAGTTGGCAGTTCATTTCGCTGTGGTGACCCCAGATTAATAAAGGGACAAAGCCAAAAAGAAGACTATGCAGAGTTGGTTTTTCACATTTGGCTAATTCATTTCTATACATTAATATAGTTAGAGGCAGCACGGTTGCTAAGTGTTGCCCTTATAGCAGGAAGGTCACTGATTCGAGTCCCAGCTGGGCCAGTTGGCATTTCTGTGTGGAGTTTGCATGTTCTCTTCGTATTGGCGTGGGTTTCCTCCGGATGCTCCAGTTTCCCCCACAGTTTAAAGACATGTGCTATAAGTAAATTGAATTAACTAAATTGACTTTGGTGTATGAGTGTATGTATGAATGTGAGAGTGTATGGGTGTTTCCTAGTACTGGGTTGCAGCTGGAATGGCATCTTCTGTGTAAAACGTGCAGAATAAGTTGGCAGTTTATTCTGCTGTGGCGACCCCTGATAAATAAGGAACTAAGCCAAAAGGAAAATGAATGAATACAGTTAAGACTCTCCAGAAAATCTGTTCGATTTATGCAGATTATCTATCCTTCAAAATCATCCCAATCAATATAAAATGATTATTTTTTTCTAAATTATTGAAAATAATTCAAGCATTTCATAATTTTCAAGTCCTCTTGTGAAATTATATTCATATTGCAATATATAAATCGCAGAAAAACAAAACATTGCAATGTCAGTTTTCATTGTGCAGCCCTACTACCTAATACGTAACACCAACTACAACCTTAATAACTATTATTAAGCCAAAACCCAAATGATGAGTATACTGAGCTAAAAGTCATAGTTAATGTTTATTAATAGTAAGAAATGTACCATAAAGTGTGATCCAAAAACCATATTAAATATATTGTACAGTTTGCTTTCCCATGCACTGGTTAAGCAATAACCTCCTATGTTAGGGCCCATTTTAATTTTAGACAAGTCAGTTGCGTGTAAAGCGTTCTGAGTAGTGATTTAAAAAAAACATTATTTCCTCAATCTGAGCTAACCCTAGTTTCGAGTGCAAACTATAGCAGAACAGTTTTTTGATTGTTTCCTTTTAAACAGGAAGACTTACAGATCAGCAGCCGTGTGGTTGTGATGGAGGGGCTGGTTGAGTGTTGCAGGGGGCTCTGCTTGTTCACCGGGTCCTTCCTCGCGAGACTGTTTGAGCAGGTCAAACAGTGGAGAGTCCTAGAAAAAAGACGAGACATGGACTTACATCACTGACCAAAACCAAGAATGTCTCTGGCTCCAAAAAAAGGGAAGCGATTAAGAGAAGACAATGCATACTACAGTGATTGAGGCTCTGCCTCTGTCATGTCATTTGAACACAATTACATTTTAATACTTCCTTATTTACACACTGTTGAAATATCTAGCCAATTCCATGCGTGTTCAATAAAAAAGGTCAGGAGAGGGTTTTCTTCAATGTTAAAAATATTAGTAAATCATTAGATACAAATGAATAATTCAAGGACAGAGTTCTGGGTTACGTTACCCTAATGCAATACAAGAATTACATTCAGGAGGTTTGCAACTAACTTGCAGGTGGAGTTTTGGTGTAACGCCACTTATCAGTCGTTCTGCAGTCCTTTGAGTGTTGCACCCAGACATACTTCCTCTTTCTGCAACCCTTCTCTGCATACCAGAACTGAACAATTAAGTGCATCTTCAATATATTTCACAACTTCTACAAGCATCATGCTCCTTTTGACATGTCTAGACTACTTATTAGACAGACGCAAAATCTGGAGCCCCCTTCACCATATTTTTTCTTACTCTGCTATTTCCCTCTTGTCAGCAGTTCCTTCTAAGAAGTATGCTTGGTCAATATATGGTATCATACAAAATAAAAAGACTGATTAATCTGTTGTTAGTCTAAACAATTTTTCAAATAAAAATAAAGACACAAAGGTGCCACATGATTTTGACTGTGTGTAAATCAAGACAAAACAACCCTGTGCATGTTGCAAATGTGTTTTATAAGTAACTAGTAATATAAATGAATGCTTCATAATTATTTTCTAAACACTGAATATAGTTTTATGTGATGCATTTATTCATTCATCATAAGAATGATCATGTTTTAAAAGCAAACAGGTTTACTTCTCTATAACTCTATTCAACAAACATCAAATGAACTCTCGACACTCCCTTGATTTACAAGCTCAGGGTTTGCACACGGTGTTGTACGAGTGAGGTCACGTCAAGCTGAATGTGTGAACTTTGGACTGACAATCCCTCTTTGTGCCCAGGAATCAATGAGCAATGTGCTATTACATAAAACAACTTATAATCAGAAGAAAACCAAGCACAGACACACAAACACTATTTAGTATTTTATAAACGTTTTATCCTAAGAACTGTAAAGGGATTCATTTGGATAGAGTAGACATAAATATAAGTGATGGATTATGAACATTCTGCAATACTGACAAACACATAATAATCCAATGATAGTTAATGTAAATGCAGAAATCATTTAGCTACTAAATTATAGATTTGTCCAAAGGAATGTAACAGTAATCAGTAACATTTTAGTTCATGTATCAATTCTCAAAAATAACTAGTGGCTTATTGTCGCCCTATTATTAAGATATTGGATGCTTATTGGCATGTATAACGTATATTCTGTATGATGTTATTCTTATGTTTAATCCTACCTAAAGGGATACATTTGTATAGATTTGACATGAAAAGAAGTGATGGATTATAAACATTCAGCAATACTGACAAAAACATGACTTAGTAATTTTTGAGATTTCCCTTTCTCCAATAAAAATGATTAAATATAAACCATTTCAATGTGGAGATGTCATTGGCCCATGAACATTTCCCGCTTGTTATCAAACTATTTCATAACTGTAACAAGAGGCAATTCAATCATAACTTAATGTTAAATCATCTATCATAACATTATTTATCAATATGTGGCTATTTTTTAATTCTTAAAAGCTATAGAAATTAAAAATCTAAGACAAAAAATACGTCAGGACTATTGTTTTTGTTTACATCCCTTAAAATAGTCTATACTTATTTTGTCAAGTGTGTGTTTGTGCTTGTACCTAGGCTGGTTTTGGCAAATGATATATAAATAAATGTGTTACTAATGCTCCATTTAATTATTTATTCAAATAATATTTTTTAAAGATTGTGTAGAAATTTGCTTTGACAGCTTTTGAACTCAAGATATTTTGGCTTTTTTTATGCAAAGATTGTGTTAGATTTAACAGAGTTAACTACTGTCATATCACAATATAGTCTATTACAATGTATATTATTACAATATTTTTGCAGACTCCTAGTATTGTTAACTGCATATACAGTTAAAGTCAGAATTATTAGCCCCCCTGTGTGATTTTTCCCCAATTTATGTTTAACGGAGAGAAGACTTTTTCAGCACATTTCTAATAATAATAGTTTTAATAAATAATTTCTAATAAATGATTTATTTTATCTTTGCCAACATGACAGTAAATAATATTTGACTAGATATTTTTCAAGACACTTCTATACAGCTTAAAGTGACATTTAAAGGCTTAACTAGGTCAATCAGGTTAACTAGGCAGGATAGGGTAATTAGGCATCGTTATTGCATAATGATGGTTTGTTCTGAAGACTATCGAAAAAATATATAGTTTAAAGGGGCTAATAAAAAATTAAAAACGACTTTTGTTCTAGCTAAAATAAAACAAATATGACTTTCTTATGAAGAAAAAACATTATCAGACATACTGTGAAAATGTCCTTTCCTCTTAAACACAATTTGGGAAATACTAAAATAAAAAAATATATTTAAAAAAAATGGGGGGCTAATAATCCTGACTTCAACTGTATTTAAGTTTTCTGTCTTGATAGAAAGAAAAAAATCAGTAGTTAAAACATTTAGAGACTACTTCATTTGGAATCACAAATAGGCATGGGCCGGTTATAAGATTCTGACTGTATGATAACCTTGTATAAATAATGTCATGCACTCAAAAAAATGAATTATGGCTTTAGTTGGACCAAAGAATGTAACTATGTTAAAATTAAGCAATTCGCTTATGTTTGTGTATTAAAAATAAAAGTGTTGTGTTGGAAAAAATTAGAAAAAGTAAGTTTTCACATTTAAACAGCTCGCTTAATTAACATGAATGAAAGGGAGTTGTGTTGCTTCTGCAGTACTGCATTTTGGTCAATAGGTGGAGTAATATCTGCACATGCGCAGTTTCAAAACAACACAGGAAGTAAGAAGATTCAAACCACAACGATCACTCTCAGCTCGGCGCCATATTATGGGAATCAAAAGAGGAAGATTACAGTACAAATTAAGAACGTGCACAAAGCTTTCCCCAATGTGGACACACAGGTGAGATTTTTTTTTTACTTTAAGTATTTATACTGAGGCTGTGACAACATTTGAATCATAAATGTACTCTCCTGTAATAATATGTTGTGTTTGTGTATAGTATTGCTATGAAATTGTCATGTTCCCTGTGTCTTTTGCACATTATAGACCGATAAATGTATAGTTTGTTTTGCATTCCTGTGAAATTTTATACTTGGTATATATTAACTCCCCCAAAATTAAGTTGCAAACGTTGGTAGTAAGGAATAGTCATGTTAGAATAGTCTAAGCTTTTCACTCATCATAGCACACGTGCTGCTGATAATGTGACAATAAAAGTGATTTGATTTTTTATTTGATTTGATAGTCTTTATTTTAAATAAGTGTCAAGCATTTTGTCGAGTTTGAATGCCAGTTTTGATAACTTACATAATAACAATTAAAATGTGGTGTTGGCACATTGTTATTTATTATCTAATTGCATTATTCAAGCCTGTTAACTTAAAAAAAATCAGCAAAAAAGCATGTGACACTTAAATAGGATGACATCTAGCATGATGACATATTTAATGTAAGCTTATTTGTTTGGTCATCTAACATGTTTAAATTTTTAAGTTTAGTAGTTTGCTATTTATATTATTATATTTTATTATTTTAAATCTTTGCTCACTCACATCTATTTTCTCCCTCACAGGTTTACAGCTCAACCTCTAAAGTCCCATATCTGGCGGAGGAGACTGTGGATCATCCAGGTACTATGCCTTTAGATGCCTATACACACATTAAAATGATGTACAGTAAAAATTACTAGTAATTGTAACTACAAATTATTTAGTAAATTATAAATTTTCATTTCATGTCATTTAGAACATCACCAGTGGAAAAAAAGGTGTGAATGCATCCTCAAAGCCCCTAAGTGAGGGAGTACATGGTAAGCTATTTTATTTTATTTTTTTAAACATTTTGTATTTCCTCTTAAACCAATTCCTCCTTTCACCTTTGATCTGTTGGTAAATGTTTTATTTTTTTACCTGACTTTTTTAGGATGCTAGGCATGATGAAGCGCAAACCTTGATGTGCAACACCACCTTATGAATCTACAGTAGTTACATTGACATTTAGCAGACTCTTTTGTCTAAAGTGACTTACAATTGAGGACATATTCAGCAAATCAACAAGAAGAGGCGATACACCCAAGATGCGCTAATTATACAAAGAATTTTAAGAATTAAGAATGCTTCTACATGTGGTTTGTCAAGCCCACACACCTGTGTGAAGCAGACTTCATGCACAATGTTTTGTTTTTTGTTTTTTAGATATAGGGACTGGTTGTAAGAAAGTGTCTGGTGCAAATGTGCATAAATGGTGCAAGTGTCAGAGAGATGAATGTGTGTAGCTATTGCATGTTCTGTGATGGTTGGTCTAATTTATGGTGTAGTGCTGATCGTGTTACTTTGCTTTAAAATGTTAATCTTTCTTTGAACAACTGAAGTGTTATCTGCTTTTTCAGTGTAAAGAAGGTACAGAATAGTTTACAAAAGAAGACTTAATTTTTCTAAGTATATTTTTGATAAATCATTTGAAGGCAGAATATTATTTTTGAATGTTTTGTAATATATGAAAAGTATTATTTTGAAAAGTGTTTTCATGATGTTTTTGTAAGCATATTTTTAAAATAATTTATTGTTTTCAATTTGCTTCATACTTGTATTAGTATTATTTTAATAGTATTAATATTTTAACTTATTGTAATAAGTGAAGATACAGAAAGACAGTATTTGGATTTTGATAATCATATTATTGCTGGAAAATGTGTAAAACTGTAAAAATGCTATTGAATAAACTCAGTGAAACGGAAATAGTTTTTTTATTTAGTTAAACATAACAATATCAATTTTAGAATAATTGAACTTAAATAACTACATTGATTAAAGCTAAATTATAAATGTTACGTTGATTGAACTAAACAACATTACATTACCTTTATGTAACTAACTTAAGTTCACTAAAATTAATATTCTTTCTTAAAGGTAACTTAACTCGGTTACGTGGAACCAGTGGACAAAAAAAAGTTAATTAACCTCAACATATCATTTTTTTGAGTGTGGTTTCACAGTATTGTGATTACTGCTCTAAAATTAGATATTTTTTAATGTTTAGGTAAAAAAACTACCTATTTCCCCCCTCTTTGAACACAATATATTTTATTTTAGGCAACATTTACAATATTTTGAAGCAGTAAACATCTCAGACATAATAGAAAGTAAAATAAAATCAGTAGTTAAAACACTCGAAGACTATTTCATTTGGAATCACAAATAAGTACGGGCTGGTATAAGATTCTGACAGAATGATAGCCTTGGATAAAAAAATCATGGTTTCATGGTATGTGATTACTGCTCTAAAATTAGTTACTTTTAAATGTCTGGATAAAAAACAATATTTTGGAGAAGTAAACACGTCAGGCTAAATAATTCAAACTAATCATTGACTTCTGCTGTCTTTATTAGTTTCAAAAACACAGATTATAAAATAAAACAAATAGTATAATAATAGTATAAAATAGTAAAGAAGAAAAAAGTTTTTAGCAGTTTTAAAACCTTGACTTTTCCAACCTGCGGTAAACTTTGAAACCGGTTATCGTCTCATCACAAATAATATACATTCTTAAGAGTTTTGCACAAACTAATTGCAATAACTAAAGCATTTAATGGGTTAATTGGCACTAATCTTGGGTCTATAAACTAAAACCAACAAAAACTCAATTTTCTCCAACATCAGTAATATATTAAACAGAAGTGCTTTAATCTTTAATCTTTTAATCTTTAATGTTAAAGAAACCTGCTTGCCCATGATGCACAGAAACATCATTCTGAAAGATGCACCTTAACCAAAAGGCGTGTGAACTCTACAGGCAACTCATTCTGAAAGTGCAGCAGTTGCATCAGAGAAGAGCAAGGGTGTCACAAATGAACAATTTAAACATGGGAGGAGCCTCAACTCCAGCCCCACCCTCTTGTCTGCCCTCCAGCCCTTCACAATCAGCAAATCTCACTGTGTACACCAGAGACTGAACAGCAGAGTTGGATACTAATAGCCTCACACAGCTACTACATAGTGACACAGATCTCAAAGACAAAGACCTGCATCACGCTAACCCCAAAACACAGTAAAGGGAAGCCGAGAAAAGGAACAAGAAACTAAAAACCAGGCGAGTAGACGAAAACATCCCATTGCATTTCTTTTGTGGTGGAAAACATCAGGTTATGGATCAACTATTCATAAAGGATTCAAGATTGAGGACATTTTATCTTGTAAGCACCTTGGAACAGAGAAGATGAAGAGCTAACATCTAGAAACCAACTTCCTGTGCTGGTAGCAAGGTAGCTATTGAGTAAACCACTTATGCAAAGCATCCAGCATACCTTACTGAGAGGACAAAGTAGGCAAGCTGATGTGGTTCGCTCATGCAGATGCTTACGTGTGAGCACTTGCTGTACTTTGAGAGTAGGATTACGCAACATCTGAACGGTAAGACACCATGTAATGTATACACACTGGATTTGTATACTTCTTTATGGATCTTCTGAGGTTTGACAGATACACTCACTGTGTTTTAAGCCAAAAGAATCATTGATGATGACTGAGAGGAGCAACTGCACAAACGATAGCTTCAAATATGTGTTATACAGCTCTGTTTTCAGCATTGTCTTCATCCTCGGGCTGCTCTTCAACATGGTGGCCATGTACATTTTTGTTTGCAGACTAAAAATGCGCAATGAGACTACAACCTACATGATGAACCTTGTGGTCTCTGACTCCCTTTTCGTCGTTAGTTTGCCTTTCAGGACATTTTACTTCATCAACCGCCAATGGCCTTTTGGTGACGCTCTCTGCAAAATATCAGTCACGTTGTTCTACACCAACATGTACGGCAGCATCCTCTTCCTCACGTGCATTAGCGTTGACCGATTCCTGGCAATCGTTTACCCTTTCGCATCAAGAACACTGAGGACCAAGCGTAACGCCAAAATAGCCTGCGGTGTAATCTGGGTGGTTCTTCTGTCCGGAGGTCTCACCGCAGGATTCGTAATGGACATCACTTCACATAAAAACGAGACGTACTGTTTTGAAAACTACTCCAAATCTCAGTGGAAGTCCCAGGTTTCAAAAGTTGTGGTGTTTATGGAGACGGTGGGCTTCCTGATTCCACTAATGATCAACTTCATCTGCTCCGTGAAGGTCTTGCAGACTTTACGCCACCCCGAGACCATCAGTCGAGGAGGGCAGCTCAACAAAGCCAAGATCTTACGCATGATCGTGGTGCACTTGCTCATCTTCTGTTTCTGCTTCATCCCATTCAATGTCAATTTGGTCTTCTATACCCTGGTCCGAAGTGAGGTTATACAGAACTGCACCGTGGAGACGGTGGTCCGGACAATTTATCCTATTGCATTCTGCATTGCAGTGACTAACTGTTGCTTTGACCCGGTCATCTATTATTTCACCTCAGAGACCATTCAGAATTCAATGAAACGAAAATCGTACGGTGTACACAAAAACACGTTAAACAACACTATCGACAACAGTGACTACAATGGAAGGGGGACGATTGATAAAATCACATCTCTAACAGCTAAATTCATGATTGAAGAGTCTACAATATGACCAAAGATCAGGCAGCAAATAGGTTTTATACCTTTTTTGTACCAGGTTTTCCTCTGACATTTAGCGATTGGTTTTGGACAGGATATAGCAGACTGATAACTATCTGAAAAATGTCTGTATATCTAACTGTCTATCTGAAAGTTACAAGAATAAAATCTGAGTATCTATAGAAAGGGTGTTTGTTTACAGCACAAACTCAACAACTGTTAATGGATTATTGATATTATAACTGCATACAAACTATGCACACGACTATGGGCTGAAAAAGAAAATATAAAAATTAGTATTTCTGAACTAAGTGTTAAAGTTGAGCTTCAAACCTGCTTGCTATGTGTTAGAAAAGTTAAAATGGTAGCACTTGTCAGTGAAATTACATTTATTAACATTAGTTTTATATTTTTTATACTGTATTTTTTACTGCATTAGATTATCTAGATCACATTGTAAGTCTTTAATAAAAATAGAGTAATAATATAAATATACTATTGATACATGTCAATTTATGTTTTTTCATCCAAATGTCAATTAAAGTAACAATTGTTTTGAAGGCACCCACTGTACTCAGTACAATTGAGTACAGCCCATTTTAAAAAATGAATGTTTGTATCCGTTTCTCAGTGAATATAAGTAATGTATTTTAGTGCGTTTAAACAAAACAGATTTATTAAACAGATATATTTATTAAAATAATAGTTTAGTTGCCAAACATATTCAGAAATCGAAAGATAATACAATTAAATTCAAGCTAAATATTGCAAAACCATTTACAACCTACAAAATTTCAACTAAATTTTAAATTTTTTTGCTTCTCTTGATTTTTTCTCTTTTTAAAATTTGTATTTAATATTTTTCTATAATATATAAATTTGGGTGTACTAGTTTTTGGACCGTTATCGTAAGTTATTTTGTTAGATAAGCTCCAGATTTGGCTTCAGTACTGACTAATCTAATGAATATGCACAAACATAATAATGTATAGCTTCCTATTAAAAACATGAATTTAAAAGATAGATTGGTGAGGGGTGTACTCATATATGCTGAGCACTGTATTTAGGACAATGATTTAGCTGCATATGAAAACAATCTATTTAAGGATTACAGTACAGCAAACTGCTGCTTAATTTATTTTTCAGCAAGAAGTTTGTGCTATTTAATTGAATAACTGTTATTTCACTGTAATATGTAGCAACTGACATTAACCAAGATGAATAAATGGTGTAAGACTGATGCTGTTTTAAATCGAAACCACTGTTAACCTTACTATAAAGTGTTACCATCTAAATCTGAATCCATTTTTGTTTTACAAGTAAATGTATTAATACTATCGTATAGACCATTCAAACTGCCAGTCATTTGTCACACAAAAGTTCCCATAAAATGTTTCCACATGTCTTCCCATGTTTATTCCTGGGAAATTTAAACTGCTAACATTGTTTTCCGAGCCAAGACCTGATTAAGATAAACAAATTGTATTATATCTGCTCAGATGATAAACAGTAAACGGAAAAGGGAGTGACCATAGAAAAAGATGACATTAAGTCCGGAGATTATATCAGGGTTTGTCTTTGTAAGAAATTAAGCTGATGACGAACAGTTCTGCAGGGTGTGCCCCAGGATTTATTTATTTTTTGTTTGGGATGTAACGTAGCAACTAAAAATAAGAAATATAAATTATATTTCCTTTTTAAATATTTTTTTTTATTCAGTTTTTTTAAAAAAAGAAAAAAACTGAGTGACCTTAAATCAAAAGTGCAAGGCTACATTTCTGGATTGCTGAACAGGACTGAACGAGCCCTGCTGCTTCACTTGCACTGCATTCCTTGGGTTATCACATGCCTGAAGGACTTGCTCCAAACACTGACAAACCATACCTCTAAAGGGCATTTCAAGCAGACAGTAGGTTTTGCATATATGCTTCACATAGGAATGCACTGCCTCTTCAGTATTTTCCCATAAGGCAGAGCTCAATTGGAATGAGCTGGTGAAACACTGAATTAAACTGTCGCTGCATTTCACATTAAAGCTGTTACAGTATGTTTTTTTTTTCCAAGTAACTCCAAATAAAATGGGCCTGTCCCAATAACTGCACTTGGCAGTTTTGCACTGACATGTATTTTTTGTATTGCGTGCATGTTTGTTTGTTTGTTTGCTTGTGTTTATTGTCCTCCTAGGAGGAAACAAGTTTTGCAACGAGTCACATACACACAAACACTACGTAAACTCTAAAGATTCACAACAAAAAGCATCAGACATTTTACCAATTAACAATTCATCAAAAGAATAGCCACTGAAACAAAAACCTTGAATGCTCTGTTCTGCAATCAGTTCTGAATCGACATCATGGCAGCAATTAAAATTCTTTCCAAAACGGGTGATTAAAATTAATTAAAATTAATTGAACTTTCTATAAAACCTGTAAAATATGTATGTAATGTAAAAACCTTTAAGTGGTCATTAAAGAATTAGTTCACCAAAATGTTTATTGTGTTATTATTTACTCACCCTCATGTCATCCCCTGAGACCTTTGTTTATCTTCAGAACACAAATGAAGAGATTTTAGATGAAATCTGAGACTCTCCACAGATAGCAAGGTTGCTGAGACATTCAGGGCCCTATCATACACCCGGCGCAATGTGGAGCAAGGCGTGGCGCAATAGTCTTTTGCTAGTTTCAGCTTGGCGCAAGAGTCGTTTTGAGGCGTTGCGCTACGCTGTTTAAATAGCAAATGCATTAGCGCTTATATGTGCACCCATAGGCCTTCTGGTCTAAAAAGGAAGGCGTTCTGAGGCGCACTGCTGGCGCGTTGCTATTTTGAGAAACTAAATTAGATTTTTCATTAGACCAAAACAAACCCAGTCTAAACTCCAGCGCAGAGTTGCGCCTCGCTTACACACTGCTTAATATGCACAAGAGAGCAATAGGCAAATATCTTTACATATGAAAAAATTTAAATATTAAGGATACATATAAGATATAATAAGAACAGATATAGGATAAAAATATAAAGGATTAAAATATTACAAAACATATTATTTTCTAGCCTACATAAATAAATAAAAAATAACTGCTTTTATGTCTTCTTCATCTCAGGAGGCTTTTTCAGTTCATTCATAACAATTTGCTTTTGTATAATGTTATTATTATTAGCAGTATTATTTATTATATCCATATTTATATTTGTTTTATTAAATACAAGCTTAGATTTGCCCACCTGTCAGGTTTTAGACCATAAGGGGCACAGCATGTGTTTTAGGATATAACTTTTTTTTTTGAGCACACTTCGTTATTATTGTTCATTTATTCATTTGCTGGAAATTAGAACTGAATTTAGCAATAGTTTTGAAACGAATATTAATTATTTATAGACTAATTGATGTCTAAGCGTAAAGGTTTCCCTATCCAAGAGCGAAAGTGAAAGTAGATCCATTATCACTCATTCTCACGCAGTAGATGCTCTGTTTAACAGTTTTCTGTTAAAAAAAAGACTTAACTGTTTGCTTGTGAAATGCTCAGTTTTTCAACTTAGACTTACTTTACGTCCTGTAAATAGCAAATGTGCTTGGCGCGATGCAGCTGGCTCTTAAGGGGAATGGGAGATGAGACTCTGATTGGTTTATTCTCAAAACACACCTATAACTCATTAAGAAAATAAACTCAACCCTTTTAGACAATGCGCCACGGCGCAAAGCAGATTTTCCTGTCCTTAAATTAGCAAAAATGCGTTCTGACACACCCTGAAAGCGTTTGCGCCCTGTGTTTTGCGCTCTGCACATGGACCGTCAAAATAGAGCCCTCAAAGTCCAAGAAAGGAACCAACTTTCAAAAGTTTCAATGTGACTTAAGTGGTTTACCTGTAATCACACAAAGCTCAGAGAACACTTAAGTGTTAAAACCAGCCATTTTATTTCCCGTAGTAAACATGCACCCTGATCTGACAAAGTAGACACAGGTGTCTATGAAAGATGTTTTCAAAAAAGTTTGGTATTCAAAAGTGTTCTCGGAGCTTCATATGCTTACTGCTGACGCATATGGATCGTTTTGACAGAATTTTCGGTTCTTTTCTAGACTTTGAGTAGTCTGGAGTCTTACTGTCTATGTAGGATAACGGAGCTATTGAATTTCATCTAAACTATCAGGATTGGAACGGCATAAAGTTAAGTACTTAACAACAGAGCTTTTATTTTTGGGTGAGCTAACCCTTTAAAACTACAAGTGTACACAGAACTTTCAAATAACAAATACAACACTCAACAAAGTGTCCTTGCATGTGATTTAGAGCTTTATTTACATAATTCAAACATTTAATACATTGCACTTTTAAATAAATTTTCCAACATATCTGTTCAGAACTCTCTATGAATGATACCATTTAACTGTAGCAAATTAAGTGTTTACAAAATAAATCTCAATTGAAATGTGAAATATATTACAATTATACACAAAATAAATGTGATATCAAAAATAAATGAACTAGAACAGCAATGTTTTTGGACTTGTGCTTCCAAGGTATGCGAGTTCCTGAGCTTAATGTATGTTTGGATATGCTTAACCTTAAAACCATGCCAATAAAACAAGTATGGGTATTAAGACAGGACACTTCACTATAAAAATGCTGGGTTCCACACAATTCTTTCATGTTGTTCTAACACAGATTAAGTCAACTTCATAATTCTTACTAATTTAAGTGGATTGAACATAAAACAATTGAGTTGTCCCCCAAAAAACACTAAGAATTGTTGTTTCAATTAGTTTTAAATTAGTAGTTTAAAAAGGCAGCAAAAGTTCTATTTTGAGTTTTGTTTAATTTTTTAAAAATAATTAATTTTAATAAAATAATTAAAATTACGTAAAAATTTAAGTGATTAATTGAAAATCCTCCCTTTCTCTGGATCCACGTTTATGCAGTAGTTATTAGTTTGAGAAAATCATTGCTTTTTGTTTTATTCTTTAAGTTACTGATGACATTATTTCAAAATGAAATTAAATAAAAACGTTAAAGCATAGCATAAAGTGAAAAGATGCCACGTTTTTAGCCATTTTTACATTCATTTTTAGACATTGCAATATTAATGTTTGAAATTCAGAACAGTTAAAATATAATTATTTGGTGTAATATCCCAAAACATGTTAAGGTACACTATACAGGTAAACAATATATTCAATATATTTATATCGCAATGTGTGCATCCACAAAAGTAACATTACAGGATTGATCTAAATTAGGGAAATCTTTCCAAAGTGCTATTCAAATCATCATGTGAAAAAAATGTCAGATTTCTTCAATATTGTGCAGCCCTTGTACACTAGCTAGTTTACTGTGATATCAAATTATTTGCAGTGAATATAATTATATTTATATAATATAATTGGATAGATTTAACGTTGAACAGGTCTGCGAGTGCTTAAAATTGTTGTGTGCGACCAGTTATTACTGCAAAATGTTCACCACATGCGCGGATTCGGGAGACATTCACGCA